TCTGCTGTAGAAGCGAGACTTGTCGCCCTCATCAAGACACCACACTCCATGTGTTCGACAAGTGGTTGCTCGGGGTGCTGTCTGGGTGTCCTCACTTTACTGAGTGAGTGAAAGCTGGATAAATAGGGCCTGTCTCCAGAGGAACTGCCACTTAAGAATGGCGAACTGAAGCTGCAGCGGATCATGCGAGACTTAAACCGCGGACGAGCTCACAAAGCAGAACTTGTTGAGTCGGCGAGTTACTACAACGAGCTAAGAGTGAGGAAGCGGACCATCGAACCGAACAATCCCCATCGAACCGAACAATCCCAGGTCCCTGGTAACCTTATGGCACTTATGGCTACACAACCAGCTTGAGGCTAGAGCTTTCTCCCGGGCTGACAGGGGGCTGATGCCACAACGACAAAACGAAGGTGTCCGTTGTTAGCTTCTGTGCAATCGGAGTCAGTAGCTAGTGTTCTAGTTGCCACGGTGGTGATGTTGGGAGGTGGTGGCGGTGGTGGGTTCGAACATGTTCGGATATGCTAGCTAGGGATGCTAGGGTACCAGATGCGAGCTCTGTGTGCGAAGATGCAAACACTGAGGGAAGCAGGACAGCATGTTCGACAGCTGTACATCGTCAAGACCGGCATAATCAGTGCAACCTGGTCAGCAAAGAAGAGTCGAAAACTTGCTCAGATTTGGTGCACGAGAGTCGGTGTGCAGCCGCACACTATCAGGTGGTCGTAGACACGTCAGCGACGCCTGGCGGGCGCCAATCAGCAGCGTGGTCGCAAAACTAAACTCTTCCTCGTGACAAGAATGTTACGCCGTGGAATGGCCGAGGCAGAAGCTGCAGTTGCAAGTTCGACTATGACGGAGCGACTGCTTCGAAAGCAGAACTTTCTCGCCCAGCTGCAGCGCAAAGAGACGCTCGGAAGACACTAGTCTAACGGTTGCGATACGGTTGCGGGTACCTTCGACTAGGCTCATGTTGTCTAGGCATTTCACTGTGCTGGTAGGCCCATCTGTTTCATGTTGTGAATGCACCAGAGTTTCGAGCCCTCGCCAATCATTGAACCACCAATTCGGCTTTTTGGCCCACCGGCTTCGCCTGCCTCGCTTCGCCTGGTTTTCCTTGGGCCCGGCCCTAGGCTTCAGCTTCTAGTTCTAGCTAATGTCGGTGCGCTGCCCGCAGACCTCCGGCCGGTCGCAGGCTGTCATGATACCGATCTCTTCACCTGTAGGTGTTTTGACCCTTCGTCAGTGTCACTGTTCTTGTGATTTCGTTTGCAGTACAGGCTTGTCGATACTTTCTGTGTATTCACATCAATACTGCACTGAGACACGTCCATTTTGTATTCCCGTTCACCGAACTGCTACTAGTTATTAGCGCTTCCTTGCTCCACAATTCCTTTCGTCGCTACCCTTTCGGCTTCGGATGGGATTCTGCATACTGTTGTGCACATTAGTTACATTAATTCGCCGAACAAGGTATCATTTTTCGGTTCTTAATTTGCTTCCGCAGTGGCACGCTAATCAGCCTCTCGGGCTCTTTGAGTTATGTACTTTGCTTGTGCCATCGCCACCGTCTCAGTCACGCTTTCGCTACAGCCGTGAGACGTTTGTCATTCAATCAATCGTGCTCTCGCCTCTCGTCTCATCGCTTTTTCCGCTTGGTTTTATTGGGTTTTGTCTGGAGTCGTCCTGGGCGGAATACCATCGTGGCACCTTGGATGGTCTTCCAGTGCTGTATACTGACACCCACGCGCCTGTGCGCACACGCCCATGCCCGCACCTGCGCCCCGTGCCTGCACGCGCCCACAGACACAAATCAGCCGGAACATGTTGAGTGCTGGTGAATGAGGACCTCCATGGTGACAGCCTCCTTGTTTGTGCGGTACCCAGAACTTTACACCGGTGAGCCCCCATGTATGAGCACAGTTGGGCTAGTCTGGTCTGGTGCTGAGGTTGGCGCTGCTCAGAAAGCAGATCTCCATCCAGGCATGAGAAAAGGGAAACGGTGCGAGCAGGGTTTGTGAAACAGTGATGGTGTGTTCCGTCTTGGTTCGGCTTTGAGAGGTCGGCAACACTGAGTTTCAATGAAAGTGTGAGTCTTTAGATCGGCCGATTCTCCTCTCTTGCTGCATCGTGTTGCTGACGAGAGAGCAACCTACGAAGAGACGCGCAGTGGATAATCGCTGGCATTTCAAGACAAGAGGTGTCCAGCATGGCTGTTTCTTCGGGAAGATCCGAATACAGGCAGGCATGCTACGATGGCCGATTTCCGCCGAAAACCCCAAGATGCCGCCGACAGCAATCGTGAAAGCTAGAGGAAAGAAATCTCGTCCGAGCTAATCCTTCTTGTAGCAAGGTTGTACAAATGTGTGTGTTTGTGTGTGTGTGTGTGTGTTTGTGCGTGTGTGTGAAAAAGGTTCCAGCGAGTTCACGGGTGTGCACCCTACCTTCCTGAAGCCAAAGGTCTGACATCCTGCAAAAGGCAAGTTGCGCACGGGCAGGGCTGAACGTTGAACACCCACGCGGACAGTGTGTTCAGATCACAGAAGGTCAGATGCTGCATCGTGCCTGTCAGGCCGATGCTGTGCTCATCAAGCGAACTGGCACACGCTGCAATCCTTGACCCTTCTCGCCGGAAATTTGTATCGTAGGCATCTCCTCTAGATGCACGGCACCTTGTTGTGGATTTCGTGCGTAAAGAACGACCCTAAGACATCAGTCCGGTTTTTGGATCATCCGAGCACGGGAGACACACCTGCGAACTGTTGTGTTGTCACCTTTGCCGCTTTGCCTGTCATAAGATTCACATGCCGGACACTTGCCGTTCCGATGGGCAAATGCACAGCGCACGGCCCCTGTCTGGCCGATAAATCAAGCCGCTGTGCTGAGACGGAAGGACTTGCAGTGGAGCTTAGTTTCTAGCTGTTGTAAGTTGTATTGTAAGCAACATCGAAGATGTGGTTTCGTTGTCTAGTATTGCACTGCTTGCGAGGTGGGCGAGCGCAGCCACGTCAAGGGGCTGCTGCCAGGCAAGTACGTCGCTTGAGCGGGATTGCCGGGGGTCCGTGCCCAAGGTATCATTGCAACATGATTTTTTGTTCGGCAGCGGCGTTCCTCTTGTGGAGCCCATGAGTTCCAGCACACGGCTTTTGGCGGAATCCATTGATCATCTTGAGGTGGTGTGCCAAGTCAACCCCAGCAGAACGACGAGCACAAAGAAAGAGGCAATGCCGACACCGAAGCTCAGATGGCCACATAGTGAGCGGACACGAAGCAGTGAGGTGGCCATTGCTATGTTTCATAAACCATTCCTGTTGGACGATCTGCGCATGCATCAACTAAGGAAACAAGTTTAGCTGCTGGCGACAGTTTCGGTGAGCTGTCCATTCTGTGAGAACCCTACATCCGCACATGTGATTCATCTGCTGCATGTCCCGAATATTTCCAGTATTTGCGCTTTCGAGACGATGCAAAAGTATGCAGCCATTCCTTCCGATGATGGCAACTGACTACAGTTTTTTCCCACGATGCCGACGACGACCGCGAATTTGCTTATGCTGCTATCCTGGTATGATGTTGCGGACATGTGCGTGGGTATGGCATATGAACAATATTGTCCGGACGCGGATTGTGAGTTGATGATGATGACATGTATGATGATGATGGTGCTGGTGACGATGATATACCTGTAGTATAGTTGTTGCTGTTGCTGCTGCAACTGCTGTTGCTGCTGTTGCTGCTGCTGTTGCTGCTGCTGTTGCTGCTGCTGTTGCTGTTGCTGTTGCTGTTGCTGGTGCTGCTGCTGTTGCTGTTGCTGTGTTGCTGTGTTGCTGT